GGAGGAAGATTCACTTCCAATTAAAATTAAAGGAAGCCTGTGCTTTTGTCTGAGCTGACAAAACTCTTGCCTGGGCATGATGAGGAGGATGGTGAGGGCGAGAGAGCCTACAGGTGGGGACCTGATCCCTGGGCCTCCGGTGGAGCATGCATAGCCCTTGCTATGCAAGAAAGCAAATGGCAATTACAGCACTTTGCCAAGAGCTGCAGAGTTTCTGCTTTTGCTGGCAACTCTGCAAGCAAGTCCAGGGCTCGCCAGCTGCATTTTTTTGAAGCAGAAAGAGACAGGAGTCATCACCTCTATTCAAACCACAGTTCCTGATGCCTTGGGCACTGCAGATCTACAAATGCCAGCTACGTACTGTCACAGATGGGAGACTCAGTTTCCCAGATGAACATCTGATATCTGCTTTGAGTCCCGAAAGCGCTAATGCAACAAGCTATGTAAAACACCACTCCCTCTAGGGATGATCTAATTTTTCTCGTTCGCAATTATGGCTGTGCCTTTGTTAAACAAAATGTACTTAAAATAACTCATGACCCGATCTTGAATGGTGGAGGGAGACGATGGTGCTGAGAAGTTCCTAGCAGTCCTAGAGCACTTCCAGTGATGGAGACCTTTGTGCTAGGAAATGAGTCAAGACTTTTCTTCAGTCCACCTGTGAGGAGGGAATAACATTGCGGTCCACCCTCACTTGATCAGAGACCATGACTCCCACCTGCTCTTCCATTCCGGGAATCCTCTTCCTCTTGCTGAGCGAGATCCTTCTGTCTTCCTCATTCTCTCTCTTGAACTGTTCTCCCTCTCCTGCTCCTGCAGTTTATGGCGACAGGGATGCTGGTCCTGGGTGTTCTGATCATCCACGATGAGAAAAACAACGCAGCCCTGAAAGGCACACAGGCCCTGCTCACGGGTATCCTGGTCCTGGGCATCGGCATGGGGATGGGGATGAACACAGGCTACGCCATAAACCCCTCCCGGGACCTGCCCCCCAGGGTCTTCACAGCAATTGCTGGCTGGGGAATCGATGTCTTCACGTGAGTGACCCTTTTTGCTGTTATACTGCTCAGCTAGCAAAGAGAGGAGATAAGCCCAAGACAAAAGTTCGCGCAGCCTTTTTCTGCGGACCAAGCGATGCCATCATCGCGGCGTGCATTCTCAGTTTTCAGAGAGCAAGGTCTGTGCGTAGAGGAGCCCCATGCATTATGTACACATAATTTGGGGTACACTAATTCTCCAGCATGGGATTCATCTTGCCATTCAGATACCTCTATTTGGGCACCAAATTGGCTACATTTTAGCTGGAGATCTACGTGGTTATTGCAGTGACTGGAGAGCCAGAGACCGATTCAGCTCACCTGAAAGCAGGTACTTACAGCTGCAATGCTGAACAGCTCTCCTAAATTTAGATGCCTGAACTTGGGAAATGAAACCCTGCCTTCCCCTATCTAGTAAGATGCTACCAGTAAGATCTAGTAAGCCATGCTACGGCTTTTCCCATGGTCAAAACTTTAGCAGAGCCTCCTGTCTTGGCTGCCCACTTTGATTAAATTTCCAGAAAATACCGTTGAGACCTTGGTAGAGGCAGTGCAGATGTTATTGGAAATGGGGAGGGAAAAGGGGGGTGTGTGTCTGTCTGTCTGACAGTCACACTCATCAGGATCACACAGACTGTTTCTGTAGGAGAAGAAACCTGCAGACAGTGCAAAGCCACTTTCTCAGACCGATGGGGAAAATGACCCTCCCTCCAGCAGCAATGCTGGTGGATACAGAATTTGTCTAAGCCAGCTGTAAGTCCCAGTATGTGAAGCGGGACTGGACACCCCTGCTTGCACAGCCCGCTCCTGTCCCAGCAGACTCCGCTCACCTCACCTTGCGCCTTGCGGCAGCAGGGCAGCCATCCCAGTCCAGCTCACCATCTGCCCCTTCTGTGTTTCATTTCAGGGCTGGACATCACTGGTGGTGGGTCCCACTCGTAGCCCCGACACTGGGAAGTCTTGCTGGTGTTTTAATCCACAAACTGTTCATTGATTTTCACAACCAACCTGATCTGGAAGGTGGAAATGAGAAAGGACAGCCAGTCGTGGAGACTTCTACGCTGTGATGGCCACACGCCCCAAGGAAAGGGCCTGACAGCAAAGCCTGTGCGGACATATGGACTGATGGCCAAAGGGTAAACACGTGGGTAAGGGGATAAGCAGTGGTGCTGCCAGAGCACACCATGTCTCTGCCCTGCAGGTGGAGAAACAAGGGACTGCTTTTCAAAAAAGCTACTCTGCTTAACCAGACAAACTGGGTCTCTGAGACGCTGGACAGACCCAAGCAGGGCTAGACCTGTCTGTGACCTGAAGAAATTATTCAATCTCCCTGTGTAAAAATCTACCAAAAAAAAAAAATCATCACATTCTGCAGAAAAGCAAAGCAGAGCTGCAAGGCTGCAGATACCTGTGCATTCATAGCAATCAAAATACAAGATCCAATAGGGCTGAAATAAGGCTTAGTCAGGGGAGCACGAGTGAAAACCACGAACACCTACAGAGTGGCAGAAACAATTAATTAAAGACATTTTGATTTGGAATATTCTTTGTTAAGAATATACTATACCGATGGATCAGGGGCCTATACTTGCTTTCATTTGCTAACGTGCCAACCTAATACCTAGTTTGACAGAGCAAAGAGAAGAGCAAGAACAGTCTAAAATAGAAACCTGAACCTGATTTTTTTTTTTTTCGTTGGTTTTGGTTTTTTGCTTTTTGATCTGAACATTCAGGAAGCACCAAAAATTAGCAAACTAAACTACAGGTTCTCCTGCATCCTGGCACAGCTCTGCTGGAACACGTTGGTGTCATGGAACCATGTGTGTTACTGACAGGCTAGACTTTAACCACTACCATCTGAAAAGATTCAGACAGCTTCTGTGGCAGCATCTACAAACACTTAAACAAAAACACTCCAGCCTTCTCTCTACTCCAAATGCATAAGAAACATGCTCCTGCAGGAGTTCTGCCACCTCCATCTGAATGAGGAAGTGGGCTTGCAACAGCCTTACAAGTTTGAGGCATCATTGGATTAAAACGGTACCAAAGCTGCCTGTCCCCAGGCTGGGTGACAAGAGTCTTCAACTTTTCTAGGAAGTGCACAAGCAATTATGGTGCATATCTGAAGTATGTGACAGCAGTCCCGGGGCTGGGTACCCTGAACACACAACACGGATCTCCACGGGTAGGAAGTGACAGAACATCACTGCTGCAGAGTTCCAGAAACCAGCATTTACTGGCTTTAATGCTCATTCGCGTCTCCTATTAAAAGGATTACTAACGTATTACTGTGGATTGGGGTGGGGTGGTAGGTATGACGTCTCTGCTTCCTCATTAGAGCTGCCCTTTTATTAGTAGAGCAGCTACAGCAGATCCTCAGCTGGTACAAGATGCACATCGGCTTAAGAGGGCTGAAGAGCATGAGAGGATTTTCTCTCCTTTTGGGGTGGCAGAGGGTAGCTGCCAGGCAATGCAGCAGCTGCACTTGAGGGTGGGCCCTGGGCAGTGCTGGAAGCCAGCAACGAATGCTAGAGCTGGGGCTGATGGTTGCAAAGATTTTTAACAGTGAGTGCAGGACAGAAGTGCAACACAGCACAGTCATTTGGTGTATATGACCTGAACTGGGAACTTCAGAGCAGCTCAAGGTGGGATCAGCTAAAAGACACTGTAACCCATCCCTTCTCAGTGAGAGATTCTCCACTGCATTAAAAAAAACCCTCAAATGATCCAGCCTGCACCCTGCTCTTACCATAGATCCTTGTACGTGTGCTCCCAAATGCATCTTCAAACACCCAATCACTCTGGAGGAAAATATCAAAATCTTTATTAAAATACAAGCAAGCACTTACAGGGTGGTTTCGTCTTTCTGAGGGCCATACAAATACTCGTGAAAGCCTCACAACATCCCTGTGAGGTAGGTTTGTCTTATGTAATTATGTGACTGTTTCATAAATAAAAAGATGATGCTGTTTAATTAATCAATGCTTATTTGAAGATGGTGACTTTTGATTTCCCTGGTTATGCATAAAATGTGTTGGTTTTCACCATGTGCTTCCAGCTTATCCAAGAAGACAGAAGGGCATATAAAAGTAAAGGGAACAATCAGATGTAACTGAAAACCAGCAGAGAATCAGTTAAAGTGCAGTTCTAACCTGAACACTTGCAGCACAGAAAACAGCATCAGGGGCTTCTAAGGCTGTAAGACGTCAGAGGCCCCTGGTCAGATCCTACCCAACTGAAAAGTGACAAATGCTGTTTCAATGGTCAACTTCGCACATGAATGTGTGACAAACCAAGGGGTCCTCCTGGCTTCTGGGACTCTTAACACCACTGACCCACCCATCTCAGCAGTGCTTTTAAGAGGAGAAAGTGGAGACAATGAGGGATCTCGCAGCTTCTGGCTGTCTTCAGGCTTATCGGGAAGGACAGTATCCGAAAAGATACTGCACGAAGGCCAAAAAGTGGTCTGGGCTGCAGAGCAAGCAACTAGGCCAATGCAGAGACACAGAGGCCCCAGATCCCCTTCTACCATGAATCACAGAGCAGAAGCTGGAAGGAGAGCAGGGAAGTGCGGAGTTTGATTCTGTCTGAAGCAGAAGATATTTCTTTGTTCAGCGGGTTCCAGCCTGCTCCCATAGCATGCGAGGTCAGGACAGGTTTCTTTCAAAGGGTATGGCAGAAATATCTTTATACGCTGTATTTCAGCATGGGTCTATATTAAAGCAATGGTGACTTACATTTGCTTTCTTTTCACTGCTGTAGTTGCACAGGAACAAAAGCTTCCCTACAGAGCAGTGACATCAAGGGCTTATTCATGCTCTCTGAAAAGTACATGCTGCAAGTGGCAGAGGGGAATAAAATCAATGTCTCAAGTTTTTCTCTCAGAGTCTTCAGGAACTGCATCCCTCCCGTGTCAAAGCACATCGTGGCTCTATTTCATGCAAATGCCGCGACGTGTTTTCCATGGGCACATCTATCCATGCACAGGGAACTTCGTGTGAACCACTGAGACTCTGCATCAAAGAACACCATAGCTTACTGCAAATGCTGCCCAGGGTCAGAGCTGGGGGTCTCACTTCCTTGAAGAATTCCCAGCTAGCGAGGATGTCTTGGAGGAGGTCATGCTTGTGTGGCTCTTTTGGGAGCCTGCTGGCTGGCAGGGTGGTTTCTTTTTCATCACTGGAGTTTTGTTCTTGCTTTTAAATACCTTATTGGGGTCCAGCTTGTTCACAAAGGAATCAGCTTCTTCAGAGAGCAGAGCTGTGTTGATGGTTATGGGTTTATACATGTTAAACCATTGCTGAAAGGCAGGATGGTGGGGAAGGAAGAGGTTAAAATCAAACTGTGATTACATTTCCATCCTGTTCCTCCTCACCCCTGAGACCTGATTTTAATCATATACCACTTATCAGTTTTGTAGTTTACAGGACTTTGCAGAATACCTTGTGATAAGGATACGCAAGGCACAACTACAGCTACAGTCCTGGAACTGCCCCACATTCCAGACAGGGAAGAGGAGAACCAGACACAAACCTAACACCACCTTTCCTGCAGTGTAACCCCTATCAGGAGCAACTCCTAGTTTAAACCACAGGAGGAAAAGTAAAGGGAGGGGATAAAACTAAATCACATTTATTTAGATTCAGAGAAGCAGAAAAGATTAAAAAACCTTGGAATTTATAAGTGCTTATAAATTTGAACCAAACTAGTTGAACTTCTCAAAATGTAGCCTCCCTCCCTCTCTTCACAAATACAATATGCACATTTTTTAACTCTTTACACAAAGAATTTTGTGTTTGTTTCTCTTTGGCCTGATTTTACATCTAGAAGTGACCACAACGATTTTTTTTTTTTGGTTCCCAGATGTCACCATAATATTATGCCCTGCAGTTCTCATCTTTCAGTGTTTTTCCTATCAGCTTTCCATTGACGAAGTCAGGAAGTAAAACTGTAGGGGTTATGGTATTACAAATCCCACTGAAACCATCAGCAAAGCATTGAACAAGATAGATAGACAAAAGATCGATACCAAAATGTAGATGGCAATCTATTCATGTACTGCTTAACAGAAAACAGATTCAATATACCACCCCTGAAGACCTTGAAAAATGATAATGGTTAACATACTAGGAGGATTTTAACTAACAGGGTCTGCAAATGATTAGGGAATACATGAATGATTTCACTAAGCTTTGCGAATATAGTGAACACAATAAAATATTCTAGCAGGAAAGTTACAGAAAGACAGAGCACAGGCATATGCTAGTGTACATGGTACACTAGCTGACAAAGTACAGTACAGTGTCACAGGGAAGACACCAGAAATACAAAGAGCCAAATTCTACAGCCATTGGCAGATGGGAAGTCAGCAGTGATCTTTGTGAGTAGTTCTGATGCACGTACAGGGCTGAGGCAGGACCAAGGAATGTCATGCTGGTAGGACAGCTGCCATGTCTGGGTGAAGGGCAGGACATTCACTGAGACCTGCCAGGCCTTGCCAACATGCACAGACATCACACAGGCTTATATGCTGTGTTTGGTACTATTGTCTGCTCCATTCCCTGACCTCTCACAATGTGGAAGCAGGGTTAGGGCTGAAGGCCCAGTCAAGCACCAAGGAATGTCAGGAGCCTCTAATAGCAGGGTTCTGGTAGAGCAGAATAGCAATTTTAATAATGATAAAGGGGCTGGAATGGTCATGAGGCTATACCTGCAGCTCTCCTATAACTACTTCTAGGACTGCTGCCATTTAAATTGTCCCTTTTTGGGCATCATTTTTATCAAGGCATCCCTTCATGACTGAGGAAGATGCAAAAGAAATAATATTCTTGGCAAGGTTCAAGCTCAAAGCCTTCCTCTGGGTTTCTGTCTAATCTGTAACTGACTTTCCACCCTGAAAGCAGTAGGCTCTTGTTTGGTGCTATGCCTAGAAAACTGATCTAGACAAATCTTACATATCTGTAGTGATGAAAGGTTTTACATCTCCTCACTTGCCAGCAGTCATGGAAGTGGAGGTTTGCTTCAGAGCCAAGAAAGTAAAGGAATAATTAGGTTTCCACCACCTGCTATTAAAGGTCAAATGCACAGCCTAACTCGGGTGAGTAAAGCAGGGTTAACATGACGCTAGTGAATTCACTAACAGAAACAAATGACTGTTAACCTGCTACAGGGGGAAGACTCGCAGCCCCTTCCATGGCTCACTAGGGACGCCCACTTGAGCCTACAGACCACTTGTCAAAAGGTGGGAAGCTATGTTTTTCCAGTCTATACTTATGCAAAATACTGATAAGCTGGATCCTGCTGTCCTACCTTGGCCTGGGGGCTGACCCCATAGCTGGTGAAGGTGTATTGCCACTGTGGGAGACCGAGGTGGGTAATGAGCAGGCGGTAGTAGGCTGTGAAGGTTTTGGTAAGGAAATGCCAATACAGAGCTCTGTCCAGGAACCATATCTCTGTGTCTGGGGAGACAACTAGGACAAAACAAACACAAATTACACTGTCACTTTGCAATGATAAGATCAACCCCTGGACATTGCCAAGCGGGAGACACAATCAGAAAGGCTGCAGCTTCCAAAACGCAGCATCCCTGACTAACATAAATGATTATCCAGAGACAATGTAGTTTAATGGCTAGAGCACAGGGCCTGAAAAGGACTCTGTTCTGCTCCCAGCCTTACTAAAAACGCTTGTGCAATAGCCATTATAGTCACTTTCCCCACTGTAAATGGATGCAGTGCTATTCCTTCCCAAGCTGGGACTGATGCGCTACATGGAACATGCTTGGACATCAGCAACTTTGTAGTGTAAGTTCAAAGTACAAACATGGCAAACATTTATCTGCCCCACAAAGTAAAAAGCAACTAACTCAGTTGTCAGTCACCTCGATTAGTGAATAAAGTCCAGAGTCTGGAAGTCGTGGGAGTGTGTGCTGCCAACAAAAACCCATTTTGCAAAATCTTGCCACAGCAATCAAATATTTCTCTGGTGACAACAACCTTTGTAGCATAAAAAGAAATTATTTTACTTGGCAAATAGATGCTGGACATTGTTAACTAAACACACTGCCCTGTGTTGACACCCACACCTGTAAACAATGCTTCCTGCCCTTGCCCAGGGCTGCTTGTGCTGAAATCACTAACACTGGAAGGCAACAGGACAAGTAAGCAGTTCCTGCCTCAGGAGCTGTAGTCATATCCAATGGAAGACACAAGATAACAATGAAAGGGTTTTATTAAGATCAGGTATATCACAATTGCACACCCCCACACAGTAAACATACACGTATACACATACACCTAGCGACCTGTGCACTGTGTCAGATGACTACTTTACAGGTGACTCAGGCGTTTCACTACTCACTGACTGATAACAGTTTTCTGTGTATCTGTCACAAGAAACAGATCAGCTCACATCTTTCACTCTCCTGCCAAATTATGACCTAGTTAGCATCTGGAGGCTCTGCATCCATGCACAATAGGGAAAAACCAGTCAAAGTCTGTCTCAATCAGCCAAGGACCTGTCTTACCATCTACCATTTGCTTCTACAAAGAGTTACAGCCTTTCTCATCAAAACTGTTCTGAGACATGCAAGTAACCAGAGATATATTAGTGGCTGAGCTCTACCTCTCTGTATTATTCCAACATGATTGTCTGCAGGTCATATGTGAATGCTTTCTTGTTTCTACGCATGCAGAAATCACAAGTTCTAACTCAGACACCAACATTAAAAAGAGCAAAAATGTTAGCTCTAGTTAAGTCTCTGTAAGGTTTAGCCCGGGACTTCAGTGGAGACAGGACATCTCAGTAAATGTTCATCTACAAATTGCAAAGAAGATCATAAATGTTAAGACGATTCTACACGCATGGCCTCCAGATACAAGTCACAAGAAGAGATGGGTAACTTTGCTCTTTTCAGCCTTACCTGGCTTAGTGTGCTTATAAACAAGACAAACTTTCCCATTCCCGTTACATGGGTCTAATTCAAAGATAAGACTACGAGAATCAAAGTGTGGCTTCTCTGGTTTGTCTCCATTACCTGAAAACAGAAAAAAATCTTCATGAAACACGCTTGGAAAACTGACTGACTCAGCTCCACAGAGTCAATCTACTTGATAACTATTAACAAATCAGCTGAGGGAGAACTAAGTCAAACTACTATATCTATACTTCTCTATACTTCTTGGAAAGGACAAAGTTTGGTAGCCTTAAAAAAAAAAAAAAAAAAAGAAAAATTTTAATGTCCAGTAGGAAAACAAATTAGAGGCAAAACCAGACGGCTGAAAAGACATCAGGCTGTCCTGTAACCCTTCCCTGCCATAAAGCAAGGTCACCTTTACAGATGTCACTCCTTAGAGGTGTTTGTCTGATATTTGCTTAAAGTTCTCCAGCGCTGGAGATGCATAGTTTCCGGGCAGTCAACCCAAAGCCACTGTTATTACTTAGAAGTTTTCCTTGTGTGAAACCTGAACCTTCCTTGCTGCAACTGAAGCCCATCACTTCTGTTCCAACTGTCATCCCTTTTTTGCCATACTTTCTTTTTTTCAAAGGAGGACAGGAAGAACAGTTTATTCCTTTTCTCTTTGCAGAAGACTTTGATGAACTTGGAGACATATATGTTTCTTCACATATTCCACTGTGACATCAGTGTTCTTCTCAGCAGCCACACGGTCTGACTCATATTCAATGTGTGACCCACAACCATAACAGAGCATTTCTACAGGACCGTTTTGGGATCATGTAGCTGCAAGTTCTTGCAGAATATCATTTTGAATTCTAAAGCTGCTGGGGAAGAAGGGAGACATAAGAGCTGTACTCTTCAGAATAATTTTCCATGAAAGTCAGGACAAGAACTCTTGTGAGGATGTAACTTTTTCTCAGTCTACGTCATAGATGCATCAGTGAAGGTGTGAGTGGCTAAATGGAAGCAGATATTGGCCCATTTCATTACAGTGGCTAGCAGATCAGGACTGCAGCCAAGCTTGAATGTGCAAAAAGAAACTTTCAGCCATACTTAGAAGCTACAAGACCTATAGAGATTCATATGTAAGACTGAAATCAAATAGCAATTTTTTAAGGAATCAGCATAACACCTGGCTCTGTTCTGACCTTCTTAATTCTTTCAGTCTTGTTAGACTGTAAGAGCCCTCAGAAAAGGAGTAAACTCTTTTCCCTATTTTTCTCTCCAAACTGCAGGATGCCCAGCATTTTTAGGCGGTCTGGAAACACGTATTTTCCAGGGCCACCTCACACTTATTTATTTATGTATTTACCAGAGCTACTTTTCCAGTTCCAAAAAGCATATCCAGTTGTCCTTTCACTACCAAGACAAAAACTGTTATCTTCTGTTCATGTAACACCACAAGCATACAGAGTTTTTAGACACTGAATCACTGGAGGAAGCCTCAATTAAAAATTAAAATACAGAAAAGGCAGAACAAGAGGTCTGCCAGGCTGTTAAAAGAGGATGGAAGTAATACGAGCAACTGGCAGCATTAACAATCCCCAAGAGATTCACAGCATACAGATCTACCTGTCAAGGCTGTAGGGGACGAATGGTTCCAGCCCAGCAGACAGAAAAACCCCCTCTACTTGGAGTGACCTTTTCTGCTGTTATATCCACGTGCTATACCCCAACATTACCCTAAAAGAGCAAAAGAGATGAGACAGGGCACATTTTCTAGCCTGTTAACAGGACCTTACCTTCCTCGTCTGTGTCATCTTCCAGGTCAGCGAGAGTTGGTGCATTAGGCAGAGTGTACATAGAGGAACCCCCAAGCCGACATAGCTTCGAGACACTATTAATCACCATGGAGCCCAGGGGCATTGGGGTATCTGCAATAAGACTGATCATTAACCACGTCTGGTGCCAGGAAAGCATAGGAGGTATTTCTTGTCCTCCACACATCAGCTCAACCTCTTCTAAAACACACAGGAGGAAAAGAGATTGGTATACCCAGCAGGCCTGGACACTTAACCAAGTCAGCCTCCACAGGAGCTACAATCTGGCTTTTCCAAACACAAAATCACAGGTGATGTGACACCATCTCAGAGCTGTGCAGCTATGAGAATTACACTGCTGGCTAAGCCCACACTGCAGCTGTTAGCCCTGTTCTGTGAAACTGGCTATTAAAAATCCTGGCAGGCTACAGTCATATTCTCAAAACTCTTCCCTGCTGCTGTCTTTCCTACCAGAAACCACCCCACCCTTTCACAGCTTATTGGGCAGCTTGTCCCCTTCCACCTCATGTACCTCCTCAGAAGGCACCCTCTTGGTTCCCGCTCCAACATAGGATTTTATCAGTGTGTCAACATGTGAGTGTTCCTGAATGAACACCTGAGTCTCTCCTGCTGAGGACTAGTAATGTTACCAGACATCAAGTCAACGAGCACCCTGTTCAGCCATGCGCCAGTGTGAAGTGCCTCAGAAAGTACTACTGGGTGCTTGCTCAACCAAGAGAGTTTTGTGACCTGCCTTGGTCTCTGTGCACTTGTGCGCCCTGAAAACAAGACTCTTCAGAGGTCACAAAACACTAAATCCCACTTGAAACATGATGGGACTCAGTGCAGGTGCTAGAGCCCTGATGTCAACCATCTCTGAAATGAAATCCCACTTCCTGAGGAAAACCTTGTATTTGACACTCATCTCCAGAAGCGAGCAGTGTCCATAGCCCAATCTGACAACCTCACTTGAAGGCAATGAGAGCCAGGATAATAGTGGCAGGGCTCCACGGCAGAGTGAACGAACCGCCTGATTCCTGCCAAACAAAGATGGACAATAAAGCTTAATTCTGTTCTCACTTCCACCACTGACTCCAGACATAACTCCAGTGAATGGACTTTAGCTCCTGGAAAGCAGAATCAGGCTCTGGTACACACACATACTTCTTTTGAATAAGAAAGAGGCATTTTCAGAGAGTGACTCTTCCTGCTGCTTTATGATAGCATAATGGCTAGAGCTGCTTCTCAGTCTCTGAACTACAGAAGGAGTTGAGGTACGAGATTTAAAATACTTACCTAAATCTGAGTGTCAACAGATGGCCAGTGTATTACAGAACGGTATTTATGTCAGGAAGACTTGTTTGGTTTCTAGCCAGCGTTCAGTGCACATGTCTATTCTGTGGAAGTCCAGCACATGCAGGCAACAGGCTTTGCCCTGTTGCATCAGGATGGGGCCTCTGATGCATAGTCGTATTTTTTTTCCTCACCAGGACATAGAGTCTACAATCTCATGCAGAACTGCACTCACTTATTAATTCAGAGGTCAGTTTTCTGTAGCTGCTGATCAAGCTGCCTAGCAGAAACAAAGTACTCAATTTTTGTGTGCGTTAAGGAATGGTGTTAATTTTTCATTCAAAATGACTTGGTGCATGTGCTTTTGCTCAGACTAATGCCGGATGATGACAGATGTGTATTGACTGCGCCAAAAGTAAGTTTGAAATTAGAGATTCTGCAGAAGAAAGACTAGCTGCAATGAAATGAGGGTATTGGTGGAGAGAAGTACATGGACTCACCATCAGTCTTCACACTCCAGGTCATCTGGAAGCCATCGGTCATCAGATAGAAGTTCTTTAAATCCTCTGGCAATATGCAGGAGTTTTTCTGCAAATCACAATTGAAGAGTTATGGGAAAACGCAGAATGTGCCTCAAACCCAAAGAACTACTGAATATTAGTACAGAAATATTTGCTACTAAATGTTTTACTCAACTCCAAGATGACTCATATGAGCTCTAATATCTCATCCTAAAACCTTGAGAGAAAACTGCATATTTCTTGGGTCTGTGCTACTGTACTAACAAAGACGACTTGGGAAAATTTCACAATGAGCAGTCAGTCATCACAAGGTTATTATACAACTGTTCCCCAACTAAGATGACATATCCTTTGACACCAACAGCCACTCCAAGATCACATATATAAGAACAGATTTTTTCAAATATACAGCTTAAAAGAGTAGAGTTTTGTTTCAAGTGAAATCAGACTAAACCTACCTGTTCATTAAAGCATGTACACTATTAGCACAAGGACTCTGTTCTTCTGAGGCATTTCAGCTCCAAGTAGGTGGAAGAAGCATAGACTCAAGAGTTGCACGTAATCAAGCAGGTTTCACATTTCACTTAAACAGTATGTGTGCAAACACATACAGAGCCAGTCTCACAAACCTGCTGGTCTGGCTCCATCCCACCAAACTTCAGTGCTTGGCTGGAGCTCCTAAGCCTGCTTCCTTCTGAGCCAACAGCGAAAGAAGCAACTCCAGGGAACTGCTGAGGGTGCTTCTAAGAACCAGGACCCCTCTCCTATACCCATCTCAGTTATGGAAGGAGCCTTTCTTAACTTAAGACTCTTCAGCTAAGCAACAAATACGAGGAAGGAAGGATAAAAGCCTAATCCACAGAACATGAAGAAGCCCAAAGAACTATAGGCAATTGCAGGCAATGCTCCTGGTGACAGGACTGGCTGCAGACCACTGACCTACCGTTTCTGTTGATGTGTCATGAACACAAAACTAAACAGTACAGAAGCCTGTCAGTTTTAAGAAGACAAGCAACATGTATGACTAAAGGAGTTATCTGTTGTTTTGTTTGTAATTGTTTACAGAAAAAAAACAGATTGACAAAGATTGAAGTGAGTTAGCATTTAAAGTATCATCAAACTCAAGACACCATAAGAATCAGACTCCCAAACTCAGGATAGTCTCTGATGATGCAGGTTCCACAATCTCTGTGTTGGCTTGTCCAAGGGCTGCAACACCCTCCTTGTGAAACCGTTTCCTTAATTGCAGTCTGAACCTCCAAGCTGCAACTTGTGGTCCTTCTCCCTTTTCAGTCCCATGTACTTTTAAATCTGCTCAGGAACAAAAGCAAAAATAAGCCCCCTGAGGGTCAAGTTTTGTCACTAACTCAAGAGAACAGACAATTTTTTTAAAATGTTGATCTGAAATCTGTTTATAATCACAGGACTCCAGGAGCTACATTTTACAGGGAAAATGGACAAATAATGTGAGATTTGCAACTTAGCATGTCTGATAATTCAAGTATTTTTACAACAGGCTTTTCACCCTTTTCTACAAAAGGTGTATTTCTTTCATTCAGCCAGTTTCAAAAACATGCTGCTGGTTATGGGCTGCTCTGTGTGAAGTAAGATTGACACAAAGCAAGAAAAGATAGAATTATAAACTTTAAGAACATTTACAGGCCAGTAGTGCTGACCCTCATACAGGCTCACCCTGACACAGACCAAGATGTTGTTCAGGTAGGTATTCACAGCCTGGCCTCAGAGGCCTGGGTAGATTTTGGAGCGGTTACAGTATTGCTTTGGAGAAAGCAGAGGAGTCAGATGTTAATAGCTTTCCAACACTAACTGTGAAAATCACATAAAATAACAGAAGAATATTCTGATAACTAGTAGCTAAGGAAAAGAAACATGCACATGTAGTTCTTGTAGCTCCACTTCACTTGGGGCATGAGTTTGTAACATCTCAAGAGATGCTGATCAGATTCTTCCCCATGTCTGTGAGTAGTGCACATCCAGTTACCTGCCCTGATACTGCCTCAATGCACCTATTCCGCAGGAGCTACCTGTCAGCTGTGCATACAGTTGTGATGGTGGCCTCTGGTCATTAATGACTGGCATAAACAAGGGGAGGCGCTGGCCTCCTCCTGTCCACACTCCCTCCCTCCCCTAGGATCAGGGCAGCCCTTCTGCCTTTTAAAGCCTTATTCACAATCATGTTGATTTGTTACAGTCCCTGACCCCTAAACTGTGATGTATATGCTGTGTCACCCACAACCTTCACTCCTGTGTGTTCACTTACTTTCTAAGCATGTCCATCCATGCTGACAGACTGCTGCTGAGTCCTAGATGCTAATGGCTCTGCAGTTTGCAATAGGCCAGGTCACTGTACTTGCCCTGTCAGCAGCCCCGTTGCCAGCATCGTGCTTTCCTAACCCAGGTAGGGAAAACCTTCAGAGGCAACAGGTATGAAAGCAGAGAATCTGATACTGTAGAAACTTTGTTTTGACAAGAATTTATTGTCCTTTGATAAGAGCCTGCTGATGGCTGAGGCCCTGGTCGTAAGTTTCAGGAGATTACTAAACCACATGGACATAGCTGAAGTTGTTCAAATGCCTTTAATAAACACACCTTCTTCTGTGGGTTCTTCTCAGTCCTAAATATTTATAATTTCATACTGCCCTTTCACCACTTCCAATTTCAAGCTGTAGCTGTAAGGACAGTGACTAGGTTTAAAACTATGAAGAAAGAAAATATGACAAGCTGCCACAACGCCTCAGAGGAGTACAAATGTTTACACAACACTTCCAGTCCATTTCAAACCCCTCAATTTTAACTAATCTACCCAGCAGTAAAAACACGTATGCGAACAGCTCTCTTGACTTCAGTGGGTGTTCTCCTTTAAGCAGGAGAAGCAGATTCATTGGAATGACAAAACCAAAGATTTTAAAACTTCCACCACAGTATCCAGTTAAATACTACTCCTCACAGTGCGCACCCCAAATTAACAAGCATAGTTGATTAAGACAAGGAAAAAAATCACATTCGGATAGGCCTTCTGCTCTGAACCCTCCGTTTCTGGATAGAAAGCTTAACATGTGCATGTTTCTCCAAACGGCTGCCCTCCTCACTTTATTTTAGGATTCTCCTAACCATGTCCCTTTGCATAACTTTCCACATGATGATGCAAAACACGTAAGTGCAAAATGCTGTACCAGAGCAAATCTGGGGTCTGTAAGAAAAAACCTCTACTCATAAAGCTTCACTAAAATCCATCTGTCCTATCTGATGGAAAGTATTGATTGATCTGTCATGTTATGCTCAGCCACACAACCCTATGACATCAAAACAGTGGTCTTCTAACAAGACAGTCAGAGAAACAAGCCACTACTATATATTAAAAATGGCTTCTCAAGCTCTGTACTACTCCTGCTCAATTGGTAGTTTCCAGGGTTGTGATCTCCAGCCCCATAAAATACGATATTCCTAATAATGGTGCCAGAAGTGGTTTAACCACAGCCCTGGCAAGCAGCTGTTTTCACTCCAGTCATCTGGTTACACTCATCAGCTCATAAAACAAAATATCCCAAGTGCCCAATATAGTGTGTGAGGTCTATTTCTTTTGTTTATTATCCATAATATCCCCAAATAGTCTCCCAAGAAAGCACAGTCTATTGAGAATAGAGAAGCATATTGGAACCAGGGTAGTTTTGCTGCCAAGTCCTGATCAGTGCTGGATCCAGAGCTAAAACACTGACATACGACAATTCACTTAATGCGCTGTTGAAACAATGCCTCCCAAGCAAATATCCTAAGGAAATGGACAGCAACCAAAACATATAGCTCTAGAGAGACTTCTCTAAAAAAACTGAGTAAGTTTTATCCAACTTCTGGGGAGAGAAGGAAGGGATTTATGTCACTTCTCAGGGCTTCCAAGTAGCAGAGCACATCAGCAGCCGCCTTCCTCTCTCCCTAATGTCATGCTGTTCCATGACTGGTCTGCTCCAGCTGCCAGTGAATGCAGATGTTAATTTATGTAACATCCTGAGACATTCTTGTTGCACCTTTTATATATCTGGGGGGTCGGGGGGGCCTTGCTTGGATTACCAGCCCTGAAAGGCATGGGGCTGGGGCAGACCCAATCCCCCACTGCTGAGAACAGGATTTGGCAATTCTCTTGCAGATGGTGTTGTGTAGTCAGTTTTTTACTCAGAATACCGTAAGGCCCTACAGGAGGGGAACACTACCTCCCAAAAGTCCTCCAGCCTCTCCCCCATTATGCACCTTGAAGAAACACACCTCTCCATGCACTGGTTCTGCTGGATCCACTTCCCCACCTCTCCCACGGTAGGGGCCACAAGGCAGGTTCAAGATGGGCTGATCCTGTGCTCCTGGGGACCAGGGACGGCAGGCTCGCCTAATGCTGAGGGAGGACATTACAAGGAGGATGGCAAGAAGGACCCTCGTGGATTTGCATGCCTGCACATATACTTTGGAGTCAAAAAGAGACATGGTAGAAGCAACGAAGAAGACTTCAAGAACCGCCACCACAGTTCCCACTGAGATTTACATGCAGAGAGTTTATAAATTATCTGGCAGCCTAACGTAGTCCACAACAGGAAAGCACCAGACCGCTTGAGGGCTTTGTTATGGTTTTATTACAGCAAAATAAATCTTTGTAGAGAAAGTGCATAAGGAGCAACAACAAATTTCCCATGCAGTTGTAGAATATCAAAGCTCCAGCAACGTGATGGGCAGTGATTGCTTACAGCCAGCCAGGGGCAGTTCAGACACTGTTAACAAGCCAATTAGAGGAACAGGCAAAACAACACCCTTCATTTTGTTTGGCCTGCGGTGGTGCCGAGGTCCAAGACCTCCAGATTCCCCTCACAGAATGCAATTTTCTATTTTTTGAAAACCAAAACCATGATGTGAGTGACTTACCACTTTTCTGAGGCAAGGCTGAGGCAAAAAGAAAATGTGGTTCAGCCTTTGTCACTGCAGATACTGGAGTGACTCCTAGCAATATTTTGATATAACACCTACTTTTAAAAACTGCAAGTGGAGAGGAGCAGGGCAGTTGCCAGCCTAATTTTAGAAGTGGAAACAGGTTCGAAGGATGATAAACGGTTATCAGCACTGGTGTTCCAGTTACGTGGTAACTCTCTCTCTACTCCCCCTTTTATTGCTTGTCTAACTTTCTTGAGGAAAAGATGATATCTTGGTAGGTCTAAATATCAAGAAAGGGGAAAAAATTATGTGTGATTATTAAAATATTATGAACCACTTGAAAGTTTTTGGGAAGTGATGCTACGCACGTAAAGACTTGACAATCATCTACGTTAAATATTTTTGCAAGTGTGCTGATTTCCAACAAAGTATTTGGGATTGATTTCATGTTTAATTTCCTGAAGTGTAAGACTCTACTGCTCTTTCTGCCTCTACTGGAAGCCTTGGAAAAAATCTCTTCTGCTCTCCTACTGTCTTACTGCACTGTCTCCTGTCATGAAGCCCACCTTCCCCTGCAAAGCCTCACAGCAGCTAATGGACATTCAACCAGCTAATCTAAGATTTTGAAACTTCCATTGTAGTATCCAGCGAAATACTAACACAAACCCAATTTAACAAACACAGCTCATGGAGACAAAAAAAAATTCATGCATCTTGCCAGCATTATTAGAATATAAATTTAATCATTCATAATTTAAAAAGGTTGATTTTCATAGAAATCATAGAATGGTTTGGGTTGGAAAGGACCTTAAAGATTGTCCAGTTCCAACTCCTTGATCCCTTCCACGAGACCAGGTTGCTCAAAGCCCCGTTCAACCTGGCCTCGAACACTTCCAGGGAGAGGGCAGCCACAGCTTCTCTGGGCAACCTGTTCCAGTGCCTCACCCCCCTCAGACTAAAGAATTTCTTTCTTATATCTAGTCTGAATCTACCCTCTTTTAGTGTAAAGCTATTACCCTTTGTCCTGTTGCAACAGGCCCTGCTAAAAAGTCTGTCCTCTCTGTTTTTGTCAGCCTCCTTTAAGTACCAGAAGGCCACAATAACGTCTGCCCAGAGCCTTCTCTTCTCCAGGCTGAACAGCCCCAACTCTCTCAGCCTTTCCTCACAGCAGAGGGGTTCCAGCCTTCTAATCATTTTTGTGGCCTCCTCTGGCCCCGCTCCAACAGGTCCACGTCAGTCCTGTGCTGAGGGCTTCAGGGCTGGATGCAGGACTCTTGGTGGGGTCTCACAAGAGCAGAGCAGAGGGGCAGAATCCCCTCTGCAGCCATGCTGCTGGGTATGCAGCCCAGGGTATGGCTGGCCTTCTGGGCTGCGAGCCCACACTGCTGGGTCAAGATGAGTTTCTCATCAACCAACACCGGGCAGACCCCCCTCTGCAGCCATGCTGCTGGGTATGCAGCCCAGGGTATGGCTGGCCTTCTGGGCTGCGAGCCCACACTGCTGGGTCAAGATGAGTTTCTCATCAACCAACACCCTCAAGTCCTTCTCCTCAGGGCTGCTGCTCTCAATGCATTCTCCACCCAGCCTGTATTTGTGTTTGAGGCTGCCCTGACCCACGTGCAGGACCTTGCACCTGGCCTTGGTAAACTTCATGCGGTTCACGCAGGCCCACCTCTCAAGCCTGTCAAGGTCCCTCTGGAGGGCATCCTTTCCCTCCAGCATGTCAACTACACCACACGGCTTGGTGTCGTCGGCAAACTTGCTGAGGGTGCACTCAATCCCACTGTCCATGTTGCCAACAAATATGTCAAACAGCGCCAGTCCCAGTACCAGCCCCTGAGGAATGCCACTCATTACTGGTCTCCACTTGGACATTGAGCCATTGACCACAACTCTTTAAGTGCAACCATCCAGCCAATTCCTTATCCCCCAACTGGTCCATCTGTGAAATCCATGTCTCTCAAGTTTAGAGAGAAGGATGTCATGCAGGACATTTTCTTTTAAGGGCTTCTGAATACCACAGAATTTCTCTCAGCGGAAATACCTTTCCATTGCAAAACTGAAATAGAAAAAAACACTTGAAATAAGAAATGAATATATAAAATACATATTATATATATATAGAATAAAT